ACATAAACTTGGCGTTCGACCCTTGACCTTTGTACCTAAGGCTTCGATGCTCATCTCTACCAAAACTGGTGTATCGATCTCTGACCTTTGTACCCGGAGCCTCGAAACCCATATTAACCGAGTTGGCGTGTCGACCCCCGACCTTTGTACCTGGAGCCTCGACACCCAACTAGCCATGCCTGTCCAATGATTTGTTCCTTCATGTCGACCCTCGACCTTTGTACCTAGGGCCTCGACATTCATTCGTACTAAGACTGGTATATCAATCCTCGACCTTTGTACACGGCGCCACGACACATAATAATGTCACATCAGCTCCCGACCTATGTACCTGGGGCCCTGAGACTCACTGGTTCCTCTCTCATAACATCCAAACTCTATATATTATTTCTAGCCTCCAACAATATTCTAGTATCAGCTGCCTATTCAACTAACCGCAACGTCTATCCACAACAAATCATCTAGTATGATTTTAATGTATCACGGACCTCAATAACACATACTCTAACAACAACTAACCTGCTCACAATATAGAGAACACAAAAGCTTCAACAAATAACATTTCAGCATGCTTTACAAAACTGACTTTCCACATAACAATTTATAAAAATTTTAAGAACACGGCCAACTACAACATAACCAACTCAGTTCAGAATTACATCCAACAGTTTCACACAACAGTGCTACATCTAACCTGTTCACATGCAAGATTCAACCTATATATTCCGCAACTCATCATCTTACACGCACAAACAAGAAGCAACTCATGCTTCGAAGAACAATCACCCCCTCAAGTAAAAACTACTTACAAAAATAGACAGCGACACTTTGCTCAAATCAAACCTCAGCAGACAGCTTCAACATGCTTTTATAATATAACAAAAATAATCACAACTCTCAAAGGCCTTAAACCATATCTTTCCCAACAGGAACTCCATATCTTTCCCAACAGGAACTATCATGCACATTTAACACTTAAAACATTACACAAATTCAACCAATATCTCCAACAACATAACGCTAGTACAAACGACCAACTTCAGATCATGCGTTTAATCACCATAACTAACACTTCCGATAATCATAAATACATGAGATACATGATAAACAAAACTAATCACCAAAACATTTTCAACAGCCTACGAAACACACACACCCGCCCCTAGTACTACTTACACACTCCCACGTTCTTAGTTCTTGCGTCGTTTTCAGCACCTATACAATAAAATATATAAAAAAAGCAATTCATTATCAACTTTCAACCATGGAAAACCATTCTAAAGGGATTCGAAAGTCCGTTTACCATGAAATTGACTTCGTTTAGGTGTAGGCGACTTAGATCTAGTGCGGATAGGTGTGGGTAACATGAATTTAGCCTCAAACCAAAATGGGTAATCGCCAAACACCAAGAAAACAAGTTGTTTGCGTTTTTTACAGC